AACCTCCTGCAGCTCAGATCTGCTGTTACTGAAATAAACTCAATAAACCAGGATTCACTTTATTTTCCACTAAAAACTTAATTAAAGTCTTTTGGCTCCAAAACAAAAGCAACAAAAGAAAAAACCTCTTAGCTTTGACCTCTGAGAGAATTACATTAAATTGGACAAACAAAAAACAATCAAATATCCAACATGTTGATGAAACAGTGAATTATAAAAGATATCTGAAAGTTTTAACACAGACTGAGGTTGTTAAGATATTTATTTAAGCACAGCTGCAATGGAAACCATTTAGAAATAAAGTTTATAGTAGAATAATTAGATTTTAAAACTATGTAAATGTAGGAAAAATCTCTATGACGTTTTTGTTACAGTTATTCCTTAATTCCTCACTGACTGTTCAGGTTTGCTTCCTCTTTTTTCAGTTTGTCACCAGTAATCCAGCTTTAATCCACCATGGAGAAGTTCTTCATTAATCTGGGTGTTGAAAAGCTGCAGAGGGAGACCGCATGGCAGGAATCCAGGAAATTCAATGACTGGATGCAGTTTTCAATGGAAACCAGTTTGACCAGATGATCTGATTGTGTCTGTAAAATAATAAACGATGACATCTGCTGTTTATTGGCAGTACAGAAATAAACTGAATAGAATTCCTGCTCCTTGTTGCCCTAAACGATTGCTTAGTTCCCTGATCTGCTTTGATGATTATTTCTGCTGTAAATGAAATTCAAACAAATACGCATCAAAAACATGATGGTTGGTTTTCTGGTTTCCGTTTATTGAACATTATTTCATTACTGAAGTTTTTATGGAGCAAAAATGACCACAACATTTTGTTACAGTATCTCTCTTTGGGTACAAACCGCTAACAAAGTTCAACATCTTTCTATACAAAAAGGGACTAAAGTAAACAAGTCATTTTTTTCTTTCTCACAAGCATCCATAAAAACAGCACGCTCTGCACATCGACTCACTACAGGCATACAGGGCAGGAAACATTCGCAA